GTTCTGCTGGTCTTGTGCTGGCATTCATCTAATGGCTTCTCTTCTGAATTACCAGAGCCCCCATTACACCATCCACACCTGAGCCTCTCCTGATAAGGTCAGGCAGGTCACATACACACACACACACACACACGGTGGCAGCCAAAGCAATGGCAGTGGAATCTGTCCTCCAGAAACCTGTAACCAAGATTACTGCAGCCCCCAACTGGTGTTTTTGTGTTTGTGCAAAATTACATTTGCTGATAAGAGGAACTGGGTGTTTATTTTAGGGCAGGCTATACTGGCTCTATTTTAGAAAGATTCATTGTCTACAGGTATCAGTGTTCATATCTAGGGGGTTTAAATTCCTTATCCTTTATACCTATCTGAATCTGATCTCAGATTTCACATACCAGAGGCTGCACGGCCATGAAATATATACAGTTGACATTAACGAACTCTGGCTGTGAAACATTCAGTGTTTAAAGTCATAAACCAATGATTAATAATTGAATGATTAAATATTTTTTTACAAACTATTTTACATCTTTTAACTAATTGCATTTTTTTGTCCCCAATATCTTCTGGAAATATCAAAAACCCAAAACTGAAACCACTAACCTGTGGTATTTCTTAGTGCCACGCTCACCCTACTGCACCCAGTTGGCCAAAATGTGTATAGTTAAATAAATGTAATTTCTCTCTGAGGTGAAAACAATGATACAGTCTCTTAAAGACATTTTAATTATCTGTTGGAAAATGTTATTACTGTGTAGGTAACTAATGACTTGATATCAGTGGAAACCAAGAACTGCATTCCTATGAGGCTTCATAGTGAGAATGTTCATATTTGATATGCAGCCAGTGTCACCAGTTCTGAGGTCCGTTGCTATGATTTGGCATATGACCGTCTCATGTCGACAGAAGCTCCTTTCATTACATCTGAGTCCAAAAACAAAGATCACATATCGTTCATCCACATCTCAAATAAATACCACTTTGGTTGCGGATGTTTTTTCAGCTGCGTGATTCATCTTTGGAGAGGATGCAGCTTTTGCTGATGCTAACTTTCCCTCGGGCCAAATGGAATTTTTAATACAGTAGAACTCGCTCAGGAGTGGAAAATGAGTCATGAACACGAGAGATTGCTGTTTGGTACATCCACTTCACACAGACGACTCTATCAACGGGGAGATGTGAGCTGTTCTCAGAGCAGTCTTTCACTGGTAGGACCACCACCTCTTCCGCTCCTGTCCTCACACCACTACCTGTGTTATTATCTGAAGAGACTGGGGTGTTCAGATTACAGGGTCCTGTGTTGGAGCTTCTAACTAGTCAAACCTCTCACCGGTCTAGTTAGGCTCAGCGACAGGAATGTGTTTGCAGCAGATTATATAACACTTATTTGGAATGTATATCTGATTTTTAGTTACGCAACTGAGATACCTACCTTGCAATTACTCCCATCACATGACTGAATTGTACCACCTGGTAAAAAGACAACACAAGCAGCACTTTGACACTGTCTTTTAGTTGTGTCTTGTTTGGAATGTCCATAAGTGAGGCTCTGTGAATGATGTAAGAGTTCCTCCAATGATACACAAAGCTTAACATTTTTTCCTCAGGGATCTAGTTGAAAAGAAGAGCAGGTGGGAGTCGGGACATTTTTTCCTTGTTCCTGTTCCAACACGCCCAAGCATTTGTCAAATACAAGACGAGCTTTTTAAAGTCGTCTTTAATAACAAAAGGTTCTCAAATCTACTTGTCACATAAAATCCTTCAGGATATTGACAGGTGGTATGAACTCTACTCCACCAAAGCGGTGTCAGATGTCATCCACAGTGTTGTGGAATAAAGAGGTTCTGCCATAAATCAGACAGTGAGAGACACTAATGTCCCAACACTGTCAACAAAAGAAGGTATCATTTTTTATAGATTGTATTTTCTCACATGTTCCTTTACCACATATCAAAAATGGGTAAAATATTTCATTTTATATGTAAAAAGACTATTTTCAACTTAGCAGTGTAGTTGCTGAACTGAACAGAATACATTTTGCACAACGCTTCAAAACGATTTTAAAAAAATAACCCTTTAATCTCACTCTCACACACAAATTCTTAGTATTAGTTATTAAAGATAACTGGCTAATAAATATCACAACACAATAATAGATACAGCAACATGTAGCCAGATGTAGAAGTATAGAAACTAGCTACAAGTTAGCACAAAATTGGCATTGATGCAGAATTACCTTTAAGTTAGAAAAAGTAAAGCAAAATGCAGTAAAAAAAAGGAACAAAACAAGATGTGAGTTGCTTAAAGCACAATTGAAGTGGTGGTAAAAATAGATCGCTATAAATTAGTCGTGTCTTGAAAGTGCATGAACAAATGATTTATTTGTCCATTGGTGTCTTAGTTGAAGGTGGACTGTCTTACACTGCAGTTTAAAACAGCCTTCAATGGCTGAATTGTTGCTGAATTAGTGTTACAATAAAACAATTCTTCTCTCTCCTCAGTACGTGGGCGGCTGTTATCCCCAGTGGTGAGGTATTTTATTAAGGGCTTTTATCAGATAAATCCTCTAAGTCTGACCGTTCCATGTTTTTCCAGCATCTGTCCACAGTCTGTCTCACTGCCAAAGTGCAGGCACTGTTTTTATTTACATGGCTATTAATGACAGTTTATTTATCCAACAATGATGAACAACAGCCGTTTTATTTCAAATATTTGAACACAGACTCACCGCTGTAGGTACAGGCCCATCAGCCAGCTGTACAGTAAAAGGCTGCTCTGAAGTCGTTTATTTTTTCTTCCTTGAATTGTTTTTATGAAAAATATTCAACAAGAATTCACGACCTCTAGGGGGCTACAAAGGTACTGCAGTGTGAATTTTTCATTTGAATCAATTTTTTAAAAATATTTTGAGTGTTTGAAATGAAAACATTAATGCACATTTATACCTGGTAATAGGCCTTGTTTCATAGGACATAACATTTATTTAGTAGTGGGTCCCTGCTACGTCTCTCTATTTGGAAGTTCTTAGCTTCCCGATTCCTGGAAGTTCTCCACATATTTTATGACTTTTTAATAATGTCCTGAAGCCTGTCGGGTATAATTTTCCACCACACATTGCCCTACTATTTATGTTTTTAGCCACACCTCCATAAAGCAGTACCAGGAACTTTGTTGATCATAATCACAAAGTGTACACAGAATTCCTGGACTTCCTCATGACTCCATAGATCATTTGAAATATTAATATGAAGTCAGTATTTAAAATTGCGTTGATGACATTAATGTTGAATTTTACTTTTTGCTCTGCCTGTTTTATATGTTTTCTTAGTCTAGTTTCTTCCAATTTCTCAGTAGATCCACCACACTTTGGGGTAACGGGGTAACATTACATTGTTACTATTGTATATGCCTGCAGCTTATGTTATGATTTCTTCCTTTAGATCTGTTTTTTTTTTTTTTTTTTGGTTAATTTCCCCCAAAAAGGTTCTGATAGCTTCATATTCATTGCTGCACAAACAGTTCAGTCGTGAAACACGGCCAAACTCACCACAACATACATATTTAATATTGGCTGCATAAATACCAGAAAGCCCTGAATTGACCCCAGTGGTAATGTCTGTGTTAACATTTTATAAGCATGTGGGTATTTTGTCCCCCAGGAGTCTTGTTTCCACTAATTAAAGCCTTGTAAGCACACTGACATTTAATATTTTCGTAGTCTTTTTATTTTTAATGAATGCACTGGAGTGGAACTGGCAGTGAAACTGCAGGGTTCGTTGAAAGTTGAGTACACTTCCATCAACATCAAATGCACTGCATTTCACTGCAGTTGAGTGGTGATGAGAGAGCAGGGCAGCAACACAAGACAGAAAACAGGTCATCTCCCCTTAATACAACAGGCCCCCTTCAAAGAGGGCTTGAGTGCAGGCGGCACCAGTAGGTTGGGCTCTCACCACTAATCTGTATCAGTCTCACACGCAAACAGCCTGCACAGCCCTGAAGGGTCTGTCCTGAGAGGTGGCAACGCAGCCACGATGATGTTGGTTAATCTTCTGTCCCATCTGTCCGTGGTCCCAGACATGAAGAACAACTTTTAGGGGTCAGAGTGTCCAGCCCTACAGGCAGGTACACAAAGTACACATGTAAATTATGTTGAGGTGTGTGTGTGTTTGCTCCTGCTCTTCTGTGCTTTGAAGTGGAGATATTGCCTGAGAACAGATGATCACAACGTGACCACAGAGACGGTTCTGTCCTAAATAACACACGATCCCTACGGCTGTAACTGTCCTGTCCAACTTACGACACAATGAATATTCAATTTTAGACAGAGAACCCGAGTCACCAACAAACCGAGAACGGGCACTTGATAAATCATTTTGGATTTCCAGCATTTAAATTTAAGTCACGAACAGTTCTCTTGTAGATTCAAATGAATATTTAATTCTTTAGCGTTGTGTTACTTCAGAGCTCTTCAGAACAAAGTGAGGTCTGGGGCCCAAATCAGTCACACGGGTCAACCTTTTCTGGCCTGCAAATTCCAATATTGGAACAGTACCGGGCCCAAAAATCAATGTTGTAGATCAAAATAAATGTTTTGTATTAAAACCCTGCATATAGTTAAGACGTTTTATTGGAAAGAAAGAGTTTTACAGAAGAAACACATAGAGAATAATAACAATGGTTCTGCACCAGTTTATTTGGATCTTTATGGCTGTTGGCAGAAAACAGTTAAACCTTAAAAAAACTTTTAATTCATAGTTATAATTGCATAGATATTAACCAGAAAAAAACAGGAATACAGAGATGTATTTGTACCATTTAATGTGTTTAATTCTGTTTTTAAATTCAGGATTTTTTCCATTGACTTTGGCTCTGTCCATATAAATGTCCAAATGTGAATGTTAATCAGTTGAGTCACGAAGCCACGTTTAAAACACTGAAAACTCCTGCTGTTCAATATTGATGTTTACAATAGTTTCTAACCTAAATGTCTCTGTTTCCAGGTTCTAGATTTGACCAGTGACAAACATCTCTGAAGCTCTAGTGCTCAAACAGAATGCCAGAAACATCGTTGCAAGCGTGCAGGTAAGCCATTCATGTATGTCATATGTCATATGTTGCCATTTTGACGTCTGTAGCATTGTTGATAACACTGTTGTTGAACACTTTGTTTCTCCCTCTGTTCAGCCTCTAAATCATGGGAAATATTGAGAGCCAGATTGGGGACCATGGTCTTTACAGTAACGAGCGGGGCCATTGGTCACGTAAACAAATGTCCCGTTCTCTTCGTATCTCCAACAAGCAGTCCAGGCGTTCTCGGCATGCTTCATCTGGCAAAATAGAGCACAGGAACTCTGAGACAAGCACGCGCTCCAGTAGCACCCCCAGTATCCCACAATCCCTTGCTGACAATGGCCTGGAACCTTTCAATGAGACCAACATCCTCCCAGATTTTGGAAGTCCGATTTGGGTAGACCGCGTGGCCATGAACCTTAGACCTGTGTCCTTCCACCATGACCTGGCCAGTCCTTCGGTGCACAGGAACACGATACACATCACCCTGCCTGGACCCACTGCAGATGAGCTGCAGGATGACGACACGTACATGGGAGAAGTGACTTATCTTCAGAAAACTTTGGATGGGACTAAACAAACGATTGTCTTCTCAAAGAAAAGGTCCAAATCAGCAGACATGTGGCGAGATGACAGCCTGGAGTTCTCCCTGTCGGACCTCAGTCAGGAACAGCTGACCAGCACAGAGGAGATCAGAGACGCAGCCCATGTGAGGGACTTTACTGACTGTGAAGGCCGCTTTCATCGCAGCCCCACAGACTGCACTGACAGGGCAAACTCTTTGGAAGAGCTGTACAGGCAGAAGAGCCCAACTCGCAAGCAACCCCATGCCCGCTTTGCCAAGTGGCACAATGCCAGCAGGACTATGAGGGAGGGTGAGGATGATAAAATGCGTTCTCCATCACAGGAGGATGGCAACAGTTACAGTGCATTTACCCTACCATGCCGACGTTCCCACTGTCTGTCTGAAGGCCTGCGTAGCCACCAGGCTGCCATGTCTGCTAATATGCAGGGCAGGAGGGCAAAGACTATACAGGTAAGAACAATTAACAGGTCATTTAATGTCCATGTAGATGATGCATTCCATGTAGGTCCAGAAGGTCCAGTTCTAAAAAGCTTTATTCAAGTTAGGGGTAGATGCAATATGCAAACCATAAAATCCCTGGCTCTGATTAAAAGCAGATGGAAAAGAATGTTCTGGGGATAAAATGTTGTTCTCAGTTGTTTGTATGCCTCGAGTACAGAGTATTATCAGCCCTCCCAATTCATCTTTCACCATTTCTGAGCCTAACTGCTGCTCTAGAGATAATAGTCTGCTCTGAAGAATTAGGTGTAGAAGGAGCTGTGTCCAGGGAGCACTGTGTTGTTTTTATTTGATGAAACTGTTGCTGTTCTTCCTGCAAAGATAAGTGTTGGGGGGGCAGAAATGTAAGTCCCCCTCTGTTTGAAATGCTTGAGTCCTTTGTTATTATAATGAGGGGAAGCTATTGGGAGAGTGTGACAGTAAAAACGTGCATGGTGGCCCTTTCATCGGGGGCACCGTCGGCTCTGGTGAAAGGGGTTTTGGAACGCATGATCAGGTCATGTGACCACGAGGAGATACCAAGTTCAGCAAGCCCCCCCCCGCCCCCCTTCATCTCACAGCAGCATTTGGCATGAGGGTAGGAGAGGGCAGACCCTACAGTGCCACGGGAAGGGCAAGTTTTCCTCACAGCAACAGGCACTTTGCTGCGAGTAATTAATTTTGAGCAGAGCCTCAGGATTAAGCAGCCGACAGAGGCCTCGTTATAGGCAGTTTTTGCAACATGTTTTCTTCAACAAGAACTGCTCTTCCTGTCTACAGAGACATCTCAGCTGCCAGTCGAAGAGAGGAGAAGTGTTGATAGCCTTGTTAGTGAAGACCAAACTGTTTTTTGCGATGCCCTTCCAACTGTCTTGTCCTTCTGCTATGACACAGGATGTCACAGCCGGGGATTGCAGTGAGTATGAGGACAGTGGAATCGATGGCGTCACCGTGGAGCAGGAGCACCAGTCCAGACGTTACAAGACCATGTCTGCCTCCTTCTCCGTTTGCTCGGCAAACGGAAGAAGTATGTTTGCCGGAAGTGATAGTGGAAGCAGCAGTGGCGGCGGTGGCCCCAACGAGTGTGTGCAGGGTGTGTATGAGAACTTCCGGCAGGAATTGGAGATGAGTTCCTGCCAAACGGAGAGCTTGGAGGAGGCGGGTTCTGCCTTAAGTGATGAACAGAGTACAATGAGCTCCGCCTACCAGTCTGACCCCATGCTCAGTGTCACTCAGGGAATGGTGCGAAAAGCTGGCAGGCTGGCAGTCAAGAACTTTCTTGTACACAAGAAGAACAAGAAAGTGGAGTCAGCCACCAGACGCAAGTGGAAAAGTTACTGGGTGTCTCTGAAAGGTTCGTCATTTCTTTAACATGTCAAAATTGTGTTGTCATATTTTATATGTACTGAACCTTCAATTGTTTTAATATTTGCTCTATGTGTAGTTGCAGTATGAAATATGAGCCACTGGAGAGCAGAGTTAAATCACTGAACCACGTCAGACTTTATCAAAAAAAAAAAAAGAAATCTTTGCTACTTTTCCTGGATATGTGAAACTCTGACCAGAATGAATCTGTGTAATCACTAACACATTTGCTTTGTTTTCCAGGTTGCACTCTGTTCTTTTATGAGACCAATGGCAGTTTAGGGATCGACAACAGCAGTATCCCCAAGCATGCCATCTGGGTCGAGAACAGCATTGTGCAGGCTGTACCAGAACATCCAAAAAAAGACTTTGTGTTTTGTCTCAGCAACTCCCTGGGAGACGCTTTTCTGTTCCAAGTGAGAAAATGCTTTAAATAGCCCTCTTTATAATGAGTAGTTACACCTTGTGTATGCAGGAATTATGCTTCTTTGTTGGTAAACAGAACTAAGTATGTGGCTCGCCCTGCATCCCCAGCAGGGGGAGTTATAAATATCCAATCGTAACCATCTACTGGAACGATCCGTGTTTCAAATTCCTCTTATGACAAAAAGGATAGAAAATACAATTAAAATCACATCTATCAACAAAATAATAATAATAATAATGACAATGCTTATAATTACTACTCATCAAAAATAACCTACTTTTATATAGTTTATGCTTTAAGTAACTCCCTGCAATCCCTAGCCTTTACACATAACACTACATTACACTAAGAGCATTTCTTTCTAAAATTGTTGAAGGGACCATTTGACCTCTGACCCTACTGTCCTAATGCAGACCTGCAGCCAGACAGAGCTGGAGAACTGGATCACAGCAATCCACTCGGCATGTGCCACTGCGGTGGCCCGCCAACACCACAGAGAAGACACAGTTCGGCTGCTGCAGGCCGAGATCAAGAAGCTGGAGCAAAAGATCGACATGGACGAGAAGATGAAGAAGATGGGAGACATGCAGCTGTCGTCTGTCACTGACACTAAGAAGAGAAAGACAATCCTGGATCAGGTGAGCTTCAGCGTAGTCTGCTCTTTGGTTTGAGGAGGCAACAAGTGAAGGGAAAAATAGCCCTTTTTTGTGTTTTAACCAATGGGAGGTAAAATGAGATTATAATAACCTCGAGAGTACTTTACTGGAGACACAAGAGTTGTCTTTCTGTTGAAATGTATCATATTTGTTAATATAATAAAACACCATCTGCCAAGGGACCAAATCACCTGTGTTTAGACTGGTCTAGGGAACAACATGGAAAATTAGATTAATCAGACTGTCAGTTTTAGTTGAATTACATTCGTGTTGATGATAACGAATCTAGTCGTATCTTGAATGCGTCAAATTTGGCAAATCTGACAGACAAAAAGCTGTATTTTTTTGTGGATTATTGTGCAGCTGCCAAAATTTGGTAACGTTCTAATTCAGTTTATGATAAACAACTTCAAATAAGTTGGTCAGTAAAAAAAATCTCTTATAATTGAGGTTTAAATATATAAATAAATCACATTATTGTGACTATGGATACAAACAGTGAGGAAAAAAGGATTAATAGGATAGAAGATCATTAAAAAGATCATAAAATCATCTTTTAATTTTGTGGTATGTTTTGCGTTTAGCAACATTGAGACAGCTTATTTGCACAGATCATATTGTCTTTACCAGATTTGTTTACCAGGAAGGGGACTCAAATGGCATTTGTTTGGTCACTTAGGTAGAGTCTGGCTCTGTTTGTTGTGTTGTGCAGCAGAATGAATGCAGGCCTGCAGCTCAGAACGCTGAAACACTCACAGTCAATGTCTGCCAGTGGAATGTGCAGCATTGTGTCTCTCTTTTCTGGGGTACCTTGGCAGAAAGCCCCGCACCATGGTGCAGGTTTCCTCTTCCAAACACCAGAGCAGAGCCATGACTTGACTGGGAGGAACAACACACTATATCAGCATATCAGTGCATGTTAAACTACAAGAGCTTCTGCATCTTGGTCATGAACCTGGACTGACAATTAGTGTGATTAACGGTTATGTCTCCTTCTTACTTCTGCAGATCTTCCTTTGGGAGCAGAACCTGGAACAGTTTCACATGGATCTATTTCGCTTCAGGTGTTATCTGGCCAGCCTTCAGGGAGGAGAACTGCCCAACCCTAAACGTCTGCTGGCTGTTGCCTCCCGCCCCACTAAGCTGGCAATGGGCCGACTGGGTATTTTCTCTGTGTCCTCCTTCCACGCACTGGTAAGCATGCCAATAAAAAAGGCAACAAGTGGTGGAACACACTTTGAGTTTTCCCTTGGTAAAATAACATATATCTACGAGTTAAATTGGAATGTGAAAAAAAGGCTTTTTTTGGATACTGGTGAAGCTTGATGTTGGTGTGAAGTGAAATAATTTTATCTGTCTATTAAAGCCACCATTTGGCAAAATTGTGCCTACACACTCTAAAGCACTGATTGGCTTTTGTTGACATTTAATCCTTGGTTGAATCAATGGTCATCGTCCAAATCTAAAGCTTGAACAGATACATAGTAGACACACAGTATTGCTGTTTGTCTCTGTTTCCCTGTTCCATCATGAGACCATCACTGAGCCCCTCTGTCTTCCACAGGTGGCCGCACGCACAGAGACTGGAATACGACGGCGAACACAGGCCATGTCTCGTTCCTGCAGCAAGCGCAAGAGCAGGTTCTCCTCACTGTGGGGTTTGGACACTACCTCAAAGAAAAACACAAAAGCCCACCCAACTATTAACCAGGTGGGTGGTATTTTAAGTTCAGTTTGACAGTCCAATCTACCCCTTCTTCTGCACATACCGTTCTGTTCAAAGTTGAAATTTTCCCCTTCCTGTTGGCCATTCAGGTCTTTGCTGATGGGAGCAACATGGAAAAACAGGCTGTAGATGAGGTTTTAGTGAACCCGGCTAAGGAACACAGAGTAAGGAAATATCACTCATGTTGGTTTTGTAACGTCACTGTAAACCTCTGCATCATGGAAACGTGCTGCAGTGGCTAAAAAAAAATCTTTTATTGTCTCTGTAGAAAAGTGAGGAAGGAAGTGTGAGGATTCTCCCACGGCCCAGCACAGAGAGTGACATCTGGGTCCCTGACCACCTGACCCCCTCCTGGGTTTGTTTGCCCAATGACCAGCCAGTATTAGCCATCATCCAACCAGGGGAGTCAGCGCTGTGCGTTCTGGAAAACATCTGCAAGGTAAATTCAAATGGCCTGCTGGGATACAGGCTTCGGTTTTTCCTTCGGTTGGATGATAAACATGCTTAAGGTTTCAGACTGCTACTGAAATGTTAGGATATCTTTTGGCAAAGTTTATCTTCCTCTTATATTTTGAGTAAATGTATGTTTAAAAATGACATTCACATACTACTATGTTACCTGTTGGATGTAATGGCACACCCCTAAACCGTGTCTTTTTGATTGTACAGGCTCACAAGCTGGACCCTACGAAGCACTACTTACAGCTCAAGTTCCTCATTGAAAACAAAGTGCAGTTCTACATCCCTAAACCTGAGGAGGACATATGTGACCTGGTATGAAGACATTTCTGTCAGTTTTAAAATGCTCAAATGCAAAGAATGCACTTTGGTTTAAACCTTTATTTCTAAATTTCTAAAACTTTATAATATGAAAACAAAACAAAAAAAGGATCAGAGATACACATTTTAAGAATAATTTTGTGACAAATAAATTCTTATTCTTATTCACCTTCTCTGTAAAAAGTCAGTTTTAAATCTCTGTTTCTGTGTCATTTGTATAATTTTAATATTTATGAAAAATTATCTTTTGATTCTTTGCAGATCTATAAAGAAATTGAACTCCACTCCAAGATTACCAAAGTGATCCAGTTTGACAGAGACGAGTCCTGCATGATAGGATACGGTAGGGAAACATTGTCTCAGTTACAAACAGTTTATGACTTTCTGTTTAGTCAAGCATTTGACAATTTGGTTTTAAAATAGGAAGGAATGTTTGTATTACATATAATAATTGCCTAGTCACATGTAGTAAAAATAGCTGTATACGATAACTGTTTACACTATCTCAGAAAATGACTTGATAAAGAAAATCGATTAAATATTAACAATAGTGGAAAGCAATGATAATGTTTCAAATTCTTAGTAAAAGCAAAAACAAAAATATATATTTTCTTAGCTCAGGCACCAATCTGTTTTCTGTTCTTGTTTTTCTCTCTTTGTATGCAGTGCTACGGTTTAAATCTCAAGCCATGTTTCATTCATATTCTCCCTCTTCTCCTCCTCGTCCTGCTCCTCCTCTTTAACGTCCGTCTCCGATTGTGTCTCTCCTCCAGGTTTCTCCATTTCGGTGGTGGAGGAAGACGGTGTTCAGCAGCTCTACATCACTGACGTGAAGGCTGGTGGATTAGCCTTTGCCAAAGGTTATTAGCCTTCATTTTTATCACAGTGTCACTTCACCACTGAGCCGCTGCAACAGAGAGAAATGGTTTAAACACTTTGGTCCCACAGCAGATCCCTCCTCCTGCCTGTCGGCATTTGTTCACGTAGTCAGTGGGCTGACAGTTGACCACAGACCAGAGCATAGATCAGTGTAATCACAGCTGCTCTACTGCCTCTCACTGGACTTATTGATTCTGTACGTTTGCCCAGTACATATCTTTGAGAATGGTATGATACATCTTTATGTTTTGCTATTTTTCTTTATGATGTGACCCCATGCTGAAATCTTAAATTTCTGGCAACCACAGAGATATTTCAGTAGCTGTCCCTTGTGCAGTCACAAAACTTTATCAGAACTCAGCTTATATTCATGAAAGTGAAAGAATACTGTTGATAAAGAATGTGTGTTTTAAATCATACTTTAAAAATGAATAGTAATAATTTAAAATAAATTATTTTAATCATTTATTTAAATATTTTATTTATCAATTACTAGACATTTCATGATCCCAATGTTGAAAAACTCTGAATTAATACATAAAGATACCAAGTAAGGATGTATTTAGGATCTAAATAAGAAGCCAATGTTTGTTAACATCTGTATTCACTAAGCAGCTTTCATTTAATAAAATTACCAGCTGAACAAAAGTTGAAAAGATTTTTATGCAGTAAATGGGCTCTTTTGCATCAGAGGAAGTGGTTAATGTAGGGCATGCATGATTGCATTCAAGCTGATTTGTTTATTCATTCTGCAGGTTTGAATGCAGGCGATGAAATACTGGAGCTGAATGGAAAAGGCTCCCACAGTCTCACCTTCTCTGACATGAAGGCAGCTTTCTCCCAAGCTTCACTAGCGTTGACGGTCAACACGATGCCCTCTGTGGACCGCCGTCAGCTCTGCTATCTGCCGCCACGTCGCTCAGACGAAGATGAAGATGGCTACACTGACATCTTCTCTCAGAACCAAGGTAGACCCGACACATCCTTTTCCTATAATGGGTCTGAATCTTACTGTGCCAAGAAAGGAAGTAACTAGTGGGAGTATTTGCGTCTATATTAAACACTTCTGAAGCGCCTACTCATTTGTTCTTCTCTTCTCTTCATATTCCAGAGGAGAGACTTGACGATGGTGTTGGTCTGTTCGTGGAGAGCTCAGGAGACAGCCTGGACGATGACTCTGAGATATTCAGCGAGTCAGAATGCAGTAAAGTAAGTGCAAGCACCGTATATTATAGGAAATGTTCAGCATAGTTGACTTAAGCTTACTCGTGATTTCTCTTGGATTTAAAATCTCAAACATAATCTCTCAAATGGGCTGAATTTCACAGATCGGTTGAGATTCTGAATTGGGTTAAACATACGACATTTCCCCTCACTGGGTTAGATGTGTCAACACTTAGAAATAGCAAATTACACAGAGAGGAAGACAAAGACAATAGATATCGAGATGAATGCCCAAAATGAAGCCTCGTTTATGATCAAAGCTGTGCACAAACAGAGCCTTTTGTCTGTCCTCTGTGCTCATTACTTGAATAATTTGGTGTGTTTTTCGAAGAGCTTGCAGATGTGTTCCCAGGGCATAAAACAGAGCAGTATCATTGGGAACCATGGGGGCATTGTTGAGCAGCACAGCTGATGTGCAAGCATTATAGGAAAACTCAGACAACAGCAATTGGTCAACCATGAAGAAGAGTCATCTGTCCACTCACTGTTTTTAACTTCTGCTGTCTCCTGCCTCTGTTTGCACCTCTTGAGCCAAAAACTTTACGACCTACGCTGCTGTCGCCATGTTTGTTTTTGACTTACCTTATCTGTTCATACAGTGAACATTAATGACAGCCATAATGTTAGATTTTAGAAACAAGCCAAAAATAAGAAATATTCATACATGTTTTAAGCCTAGTTTGTATTTGAAAACAAAGGTCAATAATAGCAAATAAGGGATATAACCAAACTAACACTGAGCAAAAAACTTTAGTTTTTCTTATATCTATTTAACCAATCAATTAAAAAGTAGCATGTTGCTAAACAGCTCAAATAGGATTTAAAACTCTCCTCTTGAACAGTTTACAAACAAACTTTTACTCAGATCAGGGAAATCTATTTCAGTTGTCTGTAGGTGCATGGGTATTTCAGGGTTGAGTTGTTATTACAGGAACACACGCTGTGTCAGTTGTGGAACATTTTAATGTCCTCCTACAAAACTCCCCTGCACCTCCCTTCCTTCCATCATCTCTGATTTCCTGCATTTGTATGCAGCTGCTGTATAGCTTACACAGCCAATCCTGCTGCACTGCAACCTTGAGGACGGAACTCCTTCTGCTCCCAAGCTTTCTTACTTTCTTTCCTCGTCTATCTCAAGGATTTGTCAGAACCCGTTCACGATGCTGCCAGACCTTCACACTTACACTGTGTGCCTGAGTTCCTTCGGACTGTGAGGGAGAAATGCTGGAATATCAGTGACAAAGCTACAGCCTACTCAGAAGGCGCAAAAAAAAAAAGAGGAGTTAGGAGGCTGTAAGTGCTCGTGGGCGGAGAGGAGGAGGAGGCAGCACAGCCTCACTCTTCATCACAGAACCTTCTTCTTTTAGAGGGAGAGAGATAGAGAGAGCGAGAGAGATTGACAAAATGCATTGTGTTGGATAAGCTCAGTGTAGAGTTGTGTATTTCCCAAGCCTGGACTCTGTTCTGCTCCTCCATCGCTACCTGCCCTCCTACACGCAGCTATGGACATGCTGAAGTGGAGTAAACACAGAAAACGCTCCTCAGACTCCGTCTATGTCATGCTCCATCCGGTGAGATCTTCTCATCTTGTCTGACTTTTCTGCACCTGCTGCGTTTCTCCGTCTCTCTGCTGTTGATGTTTTGTATCTTCTCGTGGGAGCCCTGTGTTTGTGGGCTAAGCTCAGCGTTTGTTTCACACAAGCCTCCTGGCTGCCACAGACACACTACAGGAAACAGTGACTCACCGCTGTGTCGCATCCTGCAAAGCACTGAAGTGCTTCACAGGATGTCAAAATTTAAAATACAGGCTGCAAAAACACATCAGTAGCTGCATATCTGAGACAAACTCAGAGCTACTGTTACAGAGCTTTTCTGTCATGTGACTGTCAGACTCTTCACCTCCTGCTAAGCAAAGAGCAGAGAGCAGGTCTTATGCCAACACCGGTGCTTTACTGCTTTTAAAACGGTTGTATTTGGTTTCACTTTATGTCTCTTTAGCTAAAGATTGTTCTATTAGTCCTTCTGTTCCTTCTGTTCTTTCTCTCGTCTGTCAAGTCGGAGTCAGTGTCGAGTCAACACTGTCTCTGCAATTAAAGCTGTGATGGTGTTAGCCCAAAACACGTCTGTTCTGTGAGCGCTTCATCGAGAGCTCTACAAATAAATAGACTGAGTTGAAACGATTCAGGAACCGTACACTGATTTTTAAACTCTTTTTTTACAGTTTTGTGAGTTTGTACAAAAAAGTTTTTATTGGTCTAAAGATAGATTTGGACTAAAGATAGTCAAAGTAAACAAAAAGTCTTTTAAGGTCTGGACAACAGAATCCTAACAGGTAGTAAATAGTTGAAAGATTTTGCTAATAAAAATGAGGGTAAACATTTCACAGAAGGTAGCAATACACAATTTATTTTTATTTTTAACTTTAAAAAGTAAAATTTTCATAATCCTGTTCGAATTCTTCTCTGCAGTACAGGTTAGCAAATACAAAATGTATTTTTTACTACATACTGTACCTGCCCAGACATGACAAAACACCTGATGACAATATAGAAAATGTGGCCAGTAATAAACCCAGAACCAACAGACCAGTGAAAATGTTGATTATTAAAAACCTGGGATCATCAATGTCATCATATTTCGAAGGGTGATGAATATTTTTTTAAGATATTTTTTCTATCAACAATGAGGTCTATTTTTAGCCTAATTATAAAAACAATGATTCATCTTCTGTAGCTACGTGCCGGTTCAGGCTGGGTGATTTTTCTTTGCTGAAGGAGCCACGGGGAGCAACATGAGAAATTGTTTCTGTCTGCTGTATAAAGACTCTTATGTGACTAACTGGACAGCACTCAGCTTTTCACTCAGGTCTGCCACTACCCGAAAAATATTATTCTGACATGACAGCTCCTTTCCAAAGTTACTTTTGATGTTTCCAATTCTCGAGCTTCAGGTTAGCGATGTAGCCAGGATAAAACTTTTTACAAAAAAATCAGAAAAGCTTCTTTGCTTGTCCACACAATACTCTTCACTCTTTAGTACTGCTTCATTCAAAGACGGTGTTGTATTGTACTCTCTGATCAGATCAGAGTCAAATGAAGATTTGACTCTCGTGGGTGGAGACTAGAAGGTATCGGATTGATATTGGTATCAGCAGATACTCCAAGTTGCAGTATCATAATCAAGTAATCAATCAACTACAATAAAGTAGCACAAATGGAGGATTTTGTTCTGAAAGTTCACAATTAACTATTAGTTATCTCTTTTTATTTAGATGTTTTGGTGTCCTTGACCAACCAGCCTGCAGTTCAGATATGTTTGGAGTACCACAGATTGTGAGCAGCTGAAGTCTCTTAAATAAAAAAAAAAGGCAAAATAATTCCCTTCTACAAGAATGATTGTGTTTGCACATTGTAATCCCAGTTTTATTTTGGAAGGCAGAGCTGCTTTTCTTCTTTAAACATCCACTAGTTGTGTTCAGGGCCACACAGGTGGGAAGTGGTTGGTCTTTTGTTAATTGTGTTAATTTAAATGTTTGAAGGAGGGGATTCATTATATCACTTATCCTCATCCTCCACTTTGGAAATCACCAGAGAAAAGGGGGAATGAAGGGAGGGGCGGGGGAGGAGGGGGTGGAGGGTCATTGTTACGACAGGCTGAAAATAGACCGAAATCGGTGCAGATGGGGTTTTTTTTAGAGCTGCTTCTTTCTAGTCTCACTCTCTGCACAGCCATGAACCAGTTCACATCAGCAGGTGGAAATGGATTTTCGCAAGTAAATATTTTGCGAAGCTCGTTGATGGGACAACATTTATTATTGATGATACCAATTAGAGATCTTTTTTGTCTTCTTTTGCAGAGCACGGAGCAGGTCACTGCCTTCTGTCGCAGTCTCCATGACATGAATCCGTCGGAGTGTTTATCGTCTTCTCCGAGCCCGGACTCACCCTTTCCATCTCCACTGACGCCTCGACAGCTTTCTGATGCCGACAAGCTCCGTAAAGTCATCTGTGAGCTGGTGGAGACAGAACGCACCTACGTCAAAGTCAGTGTCACTCATTTTATTTCTATGAGACAGTTGAATTATACATTTCATTTTTGTGCCCATCCATCTTCTCATTTGGGCTGTCATGGATCGTATTGGACGTCATGCACTACCTGACCCGCACGTCCAGTCTGTATTTGTCTGGATCCCAGTAGACAGGAGGGAACACAGCTCCTGCCTCCATTCTATCTTTGGCTCAGGGGAATAATTCTGTTAGAGGAGATGCATAAGAAACTAGTTCAAGTAATTCCGAAATGATACCTAGTTACATGAGCGACATATGTAGTTATTATGGAAATCCCATTGTGTATGATTGATGGTTAGGAAACATTTGAAAGGCACTGTCTGATTTGGGGTTGAATTATTGTTTATGTGTACGTGGCTAACAGGAAATGGTGCGGCCACATCAAGACAAAAAAAAACATAAAAATGAATTAAAACTAATGACACAGTAAATACATTCTTATATATTAACTTTTAGTAAAACGTCTTACGGCTTTTGTTCCTGTTAGTTTTTTAGTAAGTAAAAAGTAAAGAAACTACAGTTTAAAATGGTTCTCAGTCATTCAGGTTATGTCATCCTAGGAAGTTCAAAAGTAGGAAACTCGACTGCCTCTGGTGTCAGGAAGTTTCATCAGTTTTAACTGCTGGAAAACCGGTATTTAGCTTCCTGGGGCTGAGAACCTGAATAGAGTCGTTAGGATAAACAATGCAGGTCGTCCACCCCTCAGGTCTAAACCTTATACACCTTGACCCAGGTGAAACTGACATCCTGTAACTGGGTCAGTGAGTTAGACTGGATGTTACTAAAAAGACTAAAACAATTGCCCTATGACCCCATGAAAGACTAAAAGTTTGAAATGATGCTAATTTGTTAAAAAACAAAACAAGAAACAACATTAAATGGTTGTGTAAATGCCAAAACAACGTGGTTGGATAACATAGAAACCTTTTATGTTCTGCAGGATCTGAATTGGCTGATTGGGAGATATTTAACCCCACTGCAAAAAGAGACATTTCTCACTCAAGACGAGGTAGGTCCCAGGCTCTGACTATTTCCATGCTTTACAAAAAAAAAAAAAATCAGTAGAGAGAAGACATTTTCAGCTTTGTCTGTTCTTCTCCAGCTGGATGTGCTGTTTGGAAACCTTCCAGAAATGGTGGAGTTCCAAGTTGAGTTTCTCAAAACCCTGGAAGATGGGACTCGACTGGTCCCGGATCTGGAGAAGCTGGAGAGGGTGGATCAGTTTAAGGTACAGTATTTTAACACTAGAACCATCCACAGCCCACGACCTGCTGCGCTGCAGGTTAGGTAACCACTCTGTCACTCTTTTGCAGAAAATTCTCTTTTCCCTCGGAGGCTCCTTCCTGTACTATGCAGACCGTTTTAAAATCTACAGTGCTTTCTGTGCCAGCCACACCAAAGTCCCTAAGGTCCTTGTAAAGGGTGAGTAAATGTGCTCTAAGGTCACAAATCCTCCCGAGCTCAAAGAAAAGGATGCATTTATCTATCAGCCATCTGCCATATCCTTCAAGGCTCCATAAATCTGCTCTATAGAGCCGTCTGCTTGATGGTTGTCCATTTGACCTCCACATACTTTCAAGTTGGTTGCTCTCAGCTCTTAAAGGCCGTATATGTAACGTGTAATTACCACGGTTGAATAGTTTGTTCTTCTCTGAGTACACTTCTTACCTTTCACAGTAAAGCAAAAGGGTTTTTTTCACATGCAAGTGGTAAAAATAAATACTGATATTCAATGCCGCGGTGGTGATCCAGAACAGTAAATGTAGAATCTGCCCACAGTCGGTCACTGGATGATTCTCATACGTGCCTGGACTTGAAATGCTTGGTGAGACGGTGTGTTCTCTTGGTCCTTTCAGCTAAAACAGACCACGAATTCAAGGCCTTCCTGGATGAACGCAACCCTAAGCAGCAGCACTCCTCCACACTGGAGTCGTACCTTATCAAACCGATCCAGAGGGTTCTGAAGTATCCTCTTCTACTGAAGGAACTCTACTCACTCACAGACCCGGACAGCGAGGAGCACTACCACCTGGATGGTAAAGTCCAAAAAACAGCTTCCATAATAGAAGAAAACATCCAAAGAAATCACAATGAAAATGAAAACTAATTAAATAACATTCATGTTTACACAGTTGCCATGAAGGCCATGAATAAAGTTGCCAGCCACATCAATGAGATGCAGAAGATCCACGAGGAGTTTGGAGCCGTGTTCGATCAGCTCATCGTGGAGCAGAGCAGCGAAAAGAAAGAGGTGTGATGAAAATTTAAAAAAAAAAAAGTATCTCTGAACTAACGTCTAAAGCGTACATGAGAATTTACAAATTATTCTTCTGATTTTCTCCCACCAGGTGGCTGATTTGTCTATGGGGGATTTGTTGCTCCACACCAGTGTGACCTGGATCAATCCTCCTGCCTCCTTGGGAAAATGGAAGAAAGAGCCTCAGATTGTTATATTTGGTATGACTGCTCACATTTACATGACACATTCTCATTTGATAAAGTGTGCGCTATCTAACGTCTGTGTCCTGGGTATTTCAGTGTTTAAAACTGCCGTGGTCTTCGTGTGCAAGGATGGATCTAAACAGAAGAAGAAAATGGTAGGTTTGAACAAAAATGAGCATGGAGTCTGCAATACCTCGTCATTTATTTAGTTTGCTAAAAGCTGATAAAAACGACAGCCGATTCATCCATAATGAAGAGCTGTGTTACCAGAGTAAAATAATCATTATTTTGTTTGTTTGTTGACAGGGTGCCTCCCATCGAGTCTCCATATCTTCAGATGAGAAAGATCCATTCCGATTCCGTCACATGATCCCAACTGATGCTCTTCAAGTCCGATCCTTGTCTAATACAGGTGAACCATCTAATAGCGTGGCGTAATGCGATTTTTTAAAATTCTGATTATTCCCTTCATGTTGAACAAGTGTTGATGTTCACCTCAGATGTTGAGGGCTCTACTCTCTGTGAGATCGTCCACCAACGCTCAGAGTCAGAGGGAAGGCCAGAGAGGACGTTTCAGCTGTGCTGTAGGTGAGTGTCTGGTAGAGCGGAGGTTCCATTCTTCTGCAGACTGAAGCTTCAATTTGTGCCACTGATAAAAGCCCACCCTCCATCGCCTGCCCTCCCCCCTCCCCCCTGTGCTGCTGGTATCAGCAGAGTGACAGGATGATAACGCTGCTTTCTCTTTCTCTCCAGTTCTCCAGAGAGCAGAAAAGACTTTTTGAAAACAGTCCATTCGATCTTGAGGGAGAAGCACCGGCGTCAGCTCCTAAAAACAGAGAGCCTACCCCTCAGCCAGCAGTATGTTCCCTTTGGAGGGAAGCGTCTGTGTGCCTTGAAGGGGGCACGTCCCACCATAAATAGAGCAGGTAAATGCCACCCTGTAGATCCATTCACTCTAGAGCTGTCGCTCTTCTTATGTTGTACGCCACACAGATAAGATGTTTTGGGTGAAGTATGATACAACTTCAGACATATTTTGAGATTTAAGATGACATTCTTTCACTCAGACTAGGAAACCCTAAAGAAGTGTGGAAAACCATTAGAAAAATTGGGAGAATATAATGTATAATGTCTTAGATAAAATCTTTTCATCAAAACTCAAGTTTTTTAACTATATCAAATGCCTTGATATTCACAGAAAACCATACCATGATTAAGGATTTTTCCTTCATTTTATTTTTGCATTGATTGACTATAATTGCTACTTTTTGCAGCGTCAGCTCCAACCAGGACTCTTGGCAGAAGAAAACTTGTGCGCAACCGTTTCACCATTGACACAGACATTGTTTTTGACGGTGAACCCGACCAGGACCTCACGTCCTCACAGGAGCTGGACTCTGATCCGCTGCCGAAGGAGGAGAAAGCCGAGCAGCTGCAGCCTGAGCTGACGGGTGACACAGACCGCTGGGTGGAGGAGCAGTTCCACTTAGAAGACTATGAGGAGCAGGAGGAGATGAAGGAGACTGACATCCTGAGCGACGACGACGACGAGTTCTGTCAGACTCCCAGGGCCACGTCGGCTGAAGCAGACCTAGAGGCTTCTGTCACGGCCTTGTCCTTGGAAAGTGAGGACACTGAGGAGAGCGAAAGCCTCATGTCCCCGACCGTCGGTGGGACTGATGCTGTGGACGATCCCCAAAAAGCAGAAGGAGATGAGGTTTGGGTGCGGAGGGATGAACTGACGCCGCCTTCAGACTAGATGCTTCATCCAGAGACACCAGCTCCTCTGTAAGTCGACACCAACAATGCATGAGCATTGATGTATTTCACTAAGCTACTTTAAAAAACCCTTTTGTGTGTTTAAATAACCAGAGTGGGGAAGAGAACCCTCTCCCACATCACATGCTGTTGCTTTGAGGTCAGGTATAAAAGCTTTGGCTGATGATGTAAAGGTACAATCATGGAATTTACCCAGTGGCTTTGATTGGCATGGTTTGCACATTTGGGCAGCGTTCTGAAGTTCTGCCTGCTGTTGCCAAATCTGAGTATTTTATGAACTCAAATTATCTTTTCCTTTAGTCAAGTGTGACGCAGACATGTTGTAGTGAAGGGCTGGATATTATTTGTCCCTAAAGAACTACGTTCAGATTATTCAAAGGAACGGTCATGTGATTGTGTTTGCTGTCTCTCCTTCACATGGATATACTGTGCATCTTCAGGAGATGTTAGACCAAGTTTTTTTTTTCTTTAAACAGATAGAAAACTGACTACAGTCTACTCGCATGATACTGAGAACCCAGGACCCCTAGTCAACAACATTAAGGCATTAAGCAGTTTATTCAACCTAGATATTTGGCCCAGATTTGGTTACAATCTGTCTTATCTTACCCAAATCCAGACCTGTTCACCGTCACAGGTAAAATAAAAATTAATAAGACAAAAAACTGAGGATTTTGGTCTAAGATTTGTTTCTGTTTTGACATTTTATAACTGATATTTGAGATTAAGAGAGTTATTTTATTCTCTGAAATAATTATATAAATATATGATATATTAAGTATTAAGTCCAGAAAAGATAGACTCTGAGTATAGTCAAAGATTCTAGAATATGATAGTAGAATATGATCATTTTATATCATATTTTAAATCAGGTGAATTCAAAAATAATTTTTACTGTTCTATAAATTATCAAAAAAGTTTTAAACTTGGAGCGAAATTGTATCGTACAGAAAGCAAAAAGAGTCAAAACAATTAAATCCAAATGTCCCATTATCCGAAAAGCAAAAATGTAAAATCATAGTATTCATAGTATTTAGACATTTTCATTTAAATTCAGAGAACAAAACCACATTTCCTTCTTGAGCAGGAGAAGGTGTTGATGTTTAATTTCAAACAATCCTGTTTTACTTGAACCTTCATTTGCTGTCTCATGTTTTTTGCTAGAGTCACTGTGAAACATTTCCTCTCAGTTTTGCTCTGGTTTTATTAAGTGTTTCATTTGTGATGTAAAGAACTTTAACTCTAGATACTTTTACACACCCGTGTGTTCAGGAACATTGAAACTTGGCTATGGTTAACCAGCCATTTCTATTTATTCATATGTAAATTAATTTGTGAGCAGAATTCAAATATGTTTTTTTGTATTATTTTCAAAATAAATATCCAAATGTGCTTGAGCAATCAACAAGTCAGACATGAGAAAGACAGTGTAACCTGTGAAAAGTAATTGTGCTACCAGGACTTTGTTTTTATTAGTGTGTAAATAGAACTGTATTGATATAATAAAACAATTGTTTCCTACTTTTCTTTGTCTGCAGTCATTGTTATCCAGGCTGCTCTGTGTAGCTCAGTCATGTGATGTAATCACATGATCTTGAGCTCACCTCAACAGCATATTACTGTATATAATATGCTGCTGAGGTGCATAGAAATAAAACTCTCCATAATGTTTAACATCACTAATGTTTAAATTCGTCGTAAAAGTTACATGAATATGAATTATTTTAGAATTTTGAGTGAACCTTCAAAAGACAGCAAACAGCAGCTTTGAATTAACTTTCCTAACAGAGGTGTGCAGTCCTGCATACATACAGTAGATGGCAGCATTTGCATTGTTTTAGTCAATCTTTTTCTGCACGTACCTTTAAGAGAGTCTCAGGTCTTTGCCCTCAAGTCCCAAGTCAAGACTGAGAAGTCCAAACTCCTGCAGCTTCAGTTTCTGTCTTTTTAACCATAGTAAATATATATTTACACAGTGCTGTATGCTTTTAAAATCTGTATTAATTCATTAAAAACAAGTATGAATAACATTTCTGGAAAAAAGGGTTGACATTGCATTTCCTAACTGCACAACAAACCAGCCCTTTTTAACAACAGCTATATACAAAATATCTTTGGAAATTGTGAGCTTGAAAGCGTAGATGGTTCAAAAAGAAAAATTCCTTATAACCACAAATGGGTTTTTTTTTCTGATATTTTTTTTTGCAAAATCCGCATGTACTTTTTGGTCAGATGATGAAGCTGATATTTGTTTTTGCAAAATCCGGATTTAGCATGTACTTTTTGGTCAGATGATGAAGAATTTTGATGACAATTTATAAAAGAAAATTAAAAAATGTATCTTTCCTGCATGTTACACATCAAATTAGGGCATTTAGAGAACATTTTTAGAAATTTATTTTTATAGAATGTTCTGTCGAAATGTTAACTTTTCATGTCATTTTTGGTCAAAAACTACAAAAAAATGACAAAAATGTTTATACAATTTCTTTTCCTGCATGTATTTCATAAAATTAGGGCATTTGGAGAACATTTTCAGAAATTTTATTTTATAAAAGATTCTCTCAGAATGTAAACTTTTCAGGTCATCTTTGGTTAAAACCTAATGAATGAAAAATCACCTAAAAAAATAACCTAATCTCACATTTTAGTGCAT